ACCTGCACCCAAGTCCTCGTGCCTTCCTCTACTTCCAGAGGAGCACACACTAAAGTACTGATTCAAGTGAAAAACACCTTCATATTTCAGTTAAATAGAGGCAGCATTAGGACACACTGAAACAAACAAAATTATTCTAATATAAATACAGAGGTCAGAATGAGGTAGGGATGATAATTCCCCTCTGTAAACTCTCATCTAGTTTCTGATGAGAGAAACTAGAAAATTAGAGAAGAGAGACAAAGCCACGCTCTAGCTTTGTTTTTGAAATGCTTCCTTAATATTTGTTTCACTCACAGCTGAAATGTATCTGGAAGATTTGACTAGCAAATAAAATTAAAGCACTATCCTCTTTTGTTCACGAATACTTTCTTGTACTGATAATGAACTTGAGAAGCAAACAATTAGCAAAATTATTGTTCTCTTATTTTTAGAAGTGGCACCTCAATATAAATATTCTGCAATGAATAGTCTGTCATTTTTATCATAATTTTCAGACGAACCCATCCCAACCACTCTATACAATAGGTTGATGTGTACCAAACATATTTTAATGTAACCGTTGAACTATCACCAATGTAATCCCTCTCAAAATCCTTTTTCTTTTTTTAATAATTGAAGTCAGATAATGGGTAACTCCTGTCTTCAATATAGCTAAACCAAGGTAATCTACCAGCCTTTCATTGTGATGGAAGAGAAATCTGTGGCTTCAATTATTTCTTTCTCTAAGCTTTTTTTCAGGTCTAAATTTTCTTTCTGGGAAATGTTTTGAACTTGCCTGTTACCACAGCAGTTCTCTGTGAATAGATCCTCTATAGGGAGAAGGTTACAATCCAGATTATTTAATCTTTACATTTATGTCAAATGTACATCCAGCCAGCTGATATCTGAAGATACTCTTTCAATTAACTACATAGACTACCTAGAATTCAGGCACTAAACAATAACTTTAGATTCAAATTATCCAGTTCCTGCAAAACTCACCTAATGCAATGGTTTCTGATGGAACTGGTGTGGAAATAGGCTAACAAGTCTCTTTCTACTCCTCTTTTTTACTTATGTAAATGTATAACACGTATCAGATCAAGGTACCAGGAAGCTCAAAATCAGTCTGTAATAATTTAGCTCCATAGAAAAATGCATTCTGAGTTTCTGGTTCCACATATAAGGAGCTCGGAAGTCGCCACTCCATCCTAACAACAGGTAAAAGGCTGAACAGACTGAAAAAACAACAACTCTTCTTGGGTCCGTAAGAGAGGGGAGCATACAGGGCAAACACTGCCCCCGAGATTGGAGAGACTAACACAGGGAGTCTCGGCTAACCAGAGCAGGGGCTCACCAGAGGAAACTGCATGGGGACCAGTGCCTGCTAGGAAAACCGGAATTGTAATTGACGAATTGCTGGAGGCCCAGTAGAAACAACTCAGAGTTCAAAACTCCAGGGGGACCCAGCCATGGGAGGAGCAGGGCCAAAATATTGTAAAACTTACCTCCAGGACCTCAAGAAGATTTCCACAGAAAATATTGGAGAAAAAATCTCTCCTTCTTCCAACAGGGGTAGGGGAAAAGAAACCATTTTTAAATACTGCAGAGCACTCTGTTCTTCTTAAAAAGGCCTGCCCTCAGGGGAAACCAGTTAACCAGAGCCTAACCAGCTGGTGGTATTATCAGAGCCTAACTGACCATCAGAAGAGAAATACCCAACAGTAGTCAGCTCTAGCCTACCTCATAGGAGAAGAGAAATACCCAACTCCAGTCCAATCTAGTCATCCTGTCCCACCTAAAGGAGGAGAAAAAAACTCAGAAACACTTGTGAAGTTCACAGTCCAAAGGCACATTCTCACTAAAAGATTGAGAATTAATCATAGGTCTACCAAATGCTTCCCCTTCCCCACACCTCACCATCACATTACTAAAGGCCTATTTACAACAGTTCCTTTTACCCAGTACATCATGTCCAGCTATCAAGAAAAAATTACCAGGCATACCAAAAGGCAAAAAACATAATTTGAAGAGACAGAGCAAGCATCAGAACCAGACATGGCAGGGATGTTGGAATGATCAGACTGGAAATTAAAAAAAAAAAAAAATGATTAACATGCTAAGGGCTCTAATGGGATAAATTAGACAGCATGCAAGAACAGATGGGCAAAGTAAGCAGAGAGATGGAAATCCTGAGAAAGAACCTAGAAGAAGAAATGCTAGAGATTAAAAAAACCACTGTAACAGAAATAAAAATGCCTTTGATTGGCTTATTAGTAGACTGGACACAGCTAAGAAAAGAATCTCTGAGCTAGAAAATATATCAATAGAATCCTCAAAAACCAAAAAGCAAAGAGAACAAGATGGAAAAAAACTAGAATATCTAAGGTCTGTAGGACAACTACAAAACTGTAACATATGCATAATTGGAATACCAGAAGCAGAAGAAAGAGAGAAAGGAACAGAAGAAATATTTGAAAGAATAATAACTGAGAATTTACCCAAATTAATGTCAGACACCAAATCATCTTCCAAGAAGCTCAGAAAACACCAAGTGAGATAAATGCCAAAGAAAACTACACCTAGGCATATCATCTTCAAAGTACAGAAAATCAAAGATAAGGTAAAAAAAAAATCCTGAAAGAAGCCAGAGGAACAAACACTTTACCTACAATGGAACAAAAATAAGAATGACAACTGATAAGCCGGACTTCATTAATATTAAAAACTCCTGCTCTGTGAAAGATAATATCAAGAGAATGAGAAGATAAGGCACAGACTGGAAGGAAATCTTTGTAAGACACGTCTAATAAAGGACTGTTTTCCAAAATGTACGAAGAACTCTTAAAACTCAACAATAAGAAAATGAATAACCCAATTAAAAGATGAACCAAATTCCTTAACAGACAACTCATCAAAGAAGAGATGCAGATGGAAAACTGCATATGAAAAGATTCTCCACATCATATATCATTAAGGAAACGCAAATTAAGAAAACAATGAGAGAGGTCGGCCCAGTGGCATAGTGGTTGAGTTCGCGCACTCTGCTTTGGCGGCCCAGGGTTTGTGGGTTCAGATCCCGGGCACGGACCTATACACCACTTATCAAGCCATGCTGCGGTGGCATCCCACATACAAAATAGAGGAAGATCATCACAGATGTTAGCTCAGGGTGAATCTTCCTCAAGCAAAAAGAGGAAGATTGGCAACAGATGTGAGCTCAGGGCCCTCTTCCTCACCAAAAAAGAAAAGAAAAGAAAACAATGAGATACCACTACACACCTATTAAAATGGCCAAAATCCAGAACACTGACAACACTAAATGCTGGTAAGGATTTACCAGCAACAAGAACTCTCATACATTGCTGATGAGAATGCAAAATGGTACAGTGACTTTGGAAAACAGTTTGGTGATTTCTTACAAAACTAAACATACTCTTACCATGCAATCCAACAATCACACTCCTTGGTATTTCCTCTAAAAGGGTTGAAAAAATATGTCCACACAAAAACCTGCACACAGATGTTTATATCAGCTTTATTCATAATTGCCAAAACTTGGAAACAATCAAGATATCCTTCAATAGGTGAATGGATAAATAAGCTGTGATACATCCAGACAGTGGAATATTATCCAGCACTAAAAAGAAATTAGCTATCAAGCCAAGCAAAGACATAGAGAAAACTTAAATGCATGTTACTAAGTGAACAAAGCCAGTCTAAAAAGGCTACATACTGTATGATTCAACTATATGACATTCTGGAAAAAGCAAAACTATAGAGACAGTAAAAAGATCAGTGGTTGCCAAAGACAAGGAGTGGGATGAACAGGAGAGCACAGAAGATTTTTAGGGCCGTGACAATACTCTGTATGATACCATAAGGATGGATACATGTCATTATACATTTGTTCAAACTCATAGAATGTACAACATCAAGAGTGAATCCTAAGGTAAACTACGGACTTTGGGTAATTATGATGAGCCAGTGCAGGTTCAGCTTTGGTAAAAAAGACACCATTCTGGTGGGTAGTGTTGATGATGGAGGGGGCTATGTGGGGGCGGGGAGTATATGGGAAATCTCTCTACCTTCCTCTCAGTTTTGGTGTAAACCTAAAATGCTCTAAAAAATAAAGTAGAAAGGAAGGAAGGGAGGGAGGGAGGGGGGGAGGAAAGGGAAGGAGGGAGGGAGGAAGGGAGGAAGGAAGGAAGAAGTCACGAAACTACAATTTAGTCCTCTTTTGATTTAAATTAAGTATTAACTGCCCAAAGAAGATATTTCCTCACCTTTTGTGACACTGGTTTTTAACATCATATTTTTCAGGCTATCTAAATACTCTTCTATAAAGAAGACACAAGCTAAATTTATTTTAGCAATAAAAGATATATATTTTGATGCATCTACATATAGATAAATATTATTTTTATCATGTAAAAATACTGTTACATGGGGGCCGGCCCAGTTGCGTAGCGGTTAAGTTTGTGTGCTCTGCTTTGGTGGCCGGGGGTTTGCAGGTTTGGATCCCAGGCGCAGACCTACACACCGCTCATCAAGCCTTACTGTGGCAGCGTTCCACATACAAAATAGAGGAAGATTGGCACAGATGTTAGCTCAGCAACAACCTACCTCAAGCAAAAAGAGGAAGACTGGTAACAGATGTTAGCTCAGGTCCAATCTTCCTCACCAAGAAAAAAATATACATATATTGATACATGATTAAAAAAATAGTCTTCCCTTAATTAGATTAAAAAACTATATTCTTTGTTTTTTTATTACCATGACTAATAAGTATCGAGATTTTCCAATACTTCTTCCCCATTAATTTCTATTATTCTCTCTCTTCTGTTCTTTAACTCTTGCTTCAGAAATAAGGAGCAAATTTTATCTCAAAAGAAGAAAGTGCTCTGTAACAATTATATATGTTCAAATTTGGAAACAATTCCCTCCCCCACCCACCCACAAGCACACCCAAGAATGAGTATTCAGACTCTGAAAGGTTAGAAGCAAAGGCTGGATACAATTTATCAGGATTTTGTGGAAGAGATTCTTACAGTTGGGTAAACGAGGAAGAGTACCTTAATATTTAAAATATCTGCTATGCAGAAGGTACTCGGCTGGATGTTTGAATTGTATCATATCATATCATCATAGCAATCCTGTGAGAAAGGCATCTTATTTTCATTTATATATAAAATAATTGAGGATCAAAAATTTCAAATGATTTTCTAAAGGTGATAAGGAAAGTAAGTTTCAGAATTAGGACCCCGAAAGCTTATTCAACTCTCTTTCACTTGGAAGATTGCTGTGGAAAAAATATATACATATGTTAGAATGTATATGCACAAGTTCAAGCATAGTTCTTAGCACCTAAGGCATTGTCATCCAGAAGTATTTCTCTTTCTAATTCTACTTTTTATCCAACGGAGGGTCCAGCCTCTGATGATCACTAAAATCCCTCCGACTTCACACAATAATGCTAGTCTTTTGGGATATATCTTTGACCTTTGGAAATTAATTTATAGAAGGAATCTATGCCTTCTTATAAAGTAATCATTTCTGCATTCATCAGTTGGAAAATGTTGGCCCTGCTGAATTTATTAACCGCTTATACAGTCTCTATGTTCTTTTTATGGCTACATTCTACTTTTCAAAAAAATTTTTTAAAAGACATTGAGCTTTATAGTGGTAACTTTTAACATAATTTTGTAAAAATTATGGCAACACATACACTTCATTTTGCCCTTTAAAACTTCAGAGCACAATTATTTTGCATAAGGAGTTGTTTAAGTTTGATATTTCTGGAAAGTGTATTTGTTTCCTATTCAAAATAAAATGTATTGCTGATGGGGAAGCTGATATGTTTGGGTAGGATAAATAACAAATTGAAGGAGAATTTTTATGTTTTTGTATATATTTTGGGAAGATATATAGCATAATATTAATTTATGCATATACATACTATCCTTTTAAATTACTTTTAATTTAATTCAGAATATGGTGGCCTTGTCATTAAAAAAATTACAAAACTTCAAAATGACACAAACAAAAACTTCAGAACTTTTAATTAGGAACATTTCTACTAAATTATTTTAAAATACTCTGATTTTTGCTCAGCTTACAATTATGTGTAGTATGGCTTCATCTAAATAGCTATGGTGAGACTTTTATAATAACACTAACCAACCAGAAAAATGATAACAATTAACTGGCATTTTTCTAACATCCCACTATCTCATTCACTTAAAAAAGCTTTGAGTGTTTACAATGTATCTGTCTGTGTAGTAGACTGATGCAATCCTGCCTTTCTTATAACATTTATTCTAGTGTGAGAGATAAATATTACACAATCACACCAATACATGATTATAAATTGAGATCTGGATTGTCAAGAAAATACAGGGTCCAAGAAAGACACATTAAGAAAGTCATCATCTACTCTTGGGAGACAGAGGACAAACAAAGAAAGTGATGTAGATGAATCAGACTGAAATAGGTGAGGCTACCCAGGTGGCTGACCCCCAGAATCTCTGCTCTGCCCAAGGATGAGCTATGCTTACCTGAGTTATGGGGAAACTTGGTAAACTGAGTCTGTCTTTATGGGGCTAGAAGGAAAGATCTCTTTTAACATCATTATTTTTAATTTTGCGTTTTCTAGTAACTGTTTAGAAATTTCAATATTTTAGCTCTTCTCTCTGAAACAACATCTACTATTCTCTCTTTTTCTATAACCATTTTTAGTTAGGTTTTGAGTCAGTCTAAGAAAAAAAACACTGCTTTGAAAATTTTTTTCTGGGATAAGTATGTGAACGTTTTCTTACAGTCAGGAAGTAGATGAGAAATTCATGTTGCATAACTCTTTAGGTCAGGTCTATATGTCAAGTCTTGTTCTTAAGATGATCTAGAGGCAACTTAAATAGTTAAATTTCAGTTTTATTTTTTCAGCTGGGTTTTCTCATCTGCTTGAATCAAGGTGAATTATAAACTTTTACCTAGTGATTGGCTGAATTAGATTTTGAATATGGGAGTCAGAAGCTTCTTCTCAATGATTTCCCTACATCTTTGACTTCAAGGTTCTATCCTAGGCTCTGCTTCCTTGTTAGAATCTGCTCTAGATAAATCACTGTCTACCTGTCAATGACTCTCCAGATCTCCCATCCACAAGATCCAGTAACGGCAGGAACTTATTTCGTAACTACATGTTGTGTCTCAATTCACCCTAAACTTGAACTTGTTCATTCCTCAGACTTGCTGTTCTTCTCTTGTTGCCTATCTTGGTGAATGGAGGCCTTATCATCCTCCAACGGTGTCTCTTCACCATATAAAATCTATCACCAAGACCTGTTGATATTTTAGCTGTCATCTCTTGCATCTTTCTGTATGTCATTGTTTTTACTGCCTCCATCATAGTCCAAGCTATCATCATTTCTTATCAATAGCCAATTAACTGTTTTCCCTGTGTCCCCTCTGGCCCTTATCCAATCTAGTCTCCAAATAGTAACCAGAGTGATCATTTCAAAACTGAAATTTGGTCATTTTAATTATTACCCAAGTTTAACACCATTGAATGCTGCCCTATTGCTCTTAGGATGAAAACTCAAATCTTAACCATGTTTTACAAGCCCAGAGACAAGTATTTCTCTTCCCCTCTCTCACTGCACTGCAGTCACAAGACCCTCTTCCAGTCCCTCCCCTCTTGCAGGAGCTCATTTAAGCAGGCTCTTCCCACTGCCTGGAATTCTACTCCCCCTCCATTCCCTTCACCTGGTTCACCCTTAATCAACTTTTGGTTCCCAACTCCAGCCTCACGTCCATAGAGCAAACTGTCCCCGAGCTCAACTCAGGGCCAGTGTCCTTTGCTATACTCTCACACAACGCTGTATTCATTTTCTTTAAGGTGCTTAGCTCAGTTTGTAATTATACATTGAACAATCTAATTGTTTTATTAGTATGTCTCCCCTTACATCAATGAAAACTCCATGAGTTAGGAACAAGATCCACTGTTAACCACAAGTATCTCCCTAATGCCTAGCACAGTGTTTGGCCCATAGTATAAGCTCAATAAATATTTGTTAAATATATTAATTAATTAATGTTTTTCTTCCAAGACTTTTCAATCAGCAGTAGTTGCTTACATCTGTCCTGTATTTAAACTCTCATTACTCCTTTTGCTTCCAGCTAATCCCAATATTAATGGAGTACAGTCATGCATCACTTAACGAAGGGGATACATCTGAGAAGGGCATCTTTAGGTGATTTCATTGTTATGGGAACATCATAGAGTGTCCTTACACAAACCTAGATGGTATAGCCTACTACAAACCTAGGCTATATGGTACTAATATTATGGGACCACAGTCATATGTGTTGTCCATCATTGACAGAAATGTCATTATGCAGTGCATGACTGTAATTCCAGAAGCCCTGGCTGCTGAGGGAAAGAATTAAAACCTCCTGTCATTTCTACTGAGAACCAGCACTGGCTGCCCTGTGCTCCACAACTGAGGGATAAGCTCAATGCCATCAAGATGGGTAGAAGGAAAGGGAGCATTCTTCCTCTATGTTGTTATTTGTGAAACTAGACAAAGTAATAATAGTAATAATAATAATGTCACTCTATAATCTTCACTTCATTTTGCCAAGTGAGACAAATAATTGAGCATCAGCTTACAATATACCAGTAAGGTTTCTGCAACGTAAATCAAATGAATTTCAGAAAAATGAATTTCTAACACTACAAATAGTGTTTAAAAAGGAAAAGAGAAAAATGAATATTCTATAAGACAAAGAAACAAATAAAAATAGCAATTATCTCTTTAGAATTATTGAAAGGCCATGACCGAAACCATATGTGTCAAGTTCACCTAAACCTAAATTATATAGAACATAGAAAGTTAAACACAAATTAAGCAATGTAAAAAAAGAAATCAGTCCAGTAAAAAGGAGTAGTAAAAAACCATATAATTAGATGAGATGAACTCAGAAAAGATGACAATAAAATGAGTCGCAATTTGTAGGATATGTTTAAGATAAACAAAAGAAACAATTTTAATTATGTGGTATGGAAATGGTAAACAGTAGTGCCTTTTCTAAAGAGGATGGATATTGATGACAGATCATGGTTAAAGAAGAAACTTTTATTCTTTTTTGGCTTTGTCTTCAAATTCAAAGGTAATCAATTAACCAGAACAAGTGTCTCCTCAAATAAGGAGAAAAAAAAAACTCAATATAAAAGAGGCACAAAGGGAAGGCACAAAAATCTCTAAAGAAATGGTGAATTCTTTCATGGAGCCCTTTTCCACAAAAAAAGATTTTCAGTAATGTATAGAATATGAAAGTAACTGAATTACTGGCTTTAAGGAAAATATAGTAACTATTCGTTGAAAAACAACAACAAAATCCTGATGGAATGAAACAAAATTTCTGTCATTTTATAGTTCAGAAGCTATCCAAGGAAAATATATGACTCACCCAAGCTCATATTATATTCCTGTCAATTTAACTTTGATAAGTAAAGATCCTTGTTTTCTGATCCATCAAAAAAAAGTGAGATTCAATTTTGCTTGCGATAAATATAGATCTGGACTGTCTGTGCATATAAGCAATTAAACAGTAGGCCAACTGTAGAATTAGGGTAGTAGGAGGGTTTGGCTCATTACATTGAGTGGTTTCATGATCAGCATACCCATATCACAAAAGTCATGAATCTTCTATAATTGCATTTTGAATTATTCCCTAGCTTTAATTTTCAAATCAATTACTGAACACTTTCCTAATGATTTAATTATGATTTCGCTTATTTAACATATTTTAATAAGTTCCAACTATGTGCTAAGCATCATGCTAGATTTTGTCCAAGTAGATTCCAGTAAAGACAGTCAGTATTTTAAGCAGTCTGTTATAGCTTTAGGGATTATATAAAATTGTTTGCACTTAGAGTGACAGAGATTGAAATAAGGTTTACAAATACACATATTTGTAATGCATATAATTGGTCAGTATGTATAAGTGTCCGCTTCAGTAATATGGAAGA